ATGTACATGTACATGTGAATATATTCATACACGTGTATACATGTACATGTACATGTGAATATATCCATACATGTGTATACATGTACATGTACATGTGAATATATCCATACATGTATACACGTGTATACATGTACATGTACATGTAAATATACCCATACACGTGTATACATGTACATGTACATGTAAATATATCCATACACGTGTATACATGTACATGTACATGTGAATATATCCATACACGTGTATACATGTACATGTACATGTAAATATATCCATACACGTGTATACATGTACATGTACATGTAAATATATCCACACACGTGTATACATGTACATGTACATGTGAATATATCCATACACGTGTATAGGATATATTCACATGTACATGTACATGTATACACGTGTATGGATATATTCACATGTACATGTACATGTATACACGTGTATGGATATATTCACATGTACATGTACATGTATACACGTGTATGGATATATTCACATGTACATGTCATGTACATGTATACACGTGTATTATATATATATATATATATAATAATATAAAAATAACAAATAAAGTAAATAATAGTAATAATTAATCTGTGACTTTGCCTCTTCTTCACTACTACCTTGCCGTGACCTCACCATGACCTCTTGACCTCACCGTGACCTTGCTGTCGACAGGTACCGGTGCCTGAAGTGCTTTAACTTTGACATGTGCCAGAACTGCTTCTTCTCCGGACGCAAGTCCAAGAGCCACAAGATCACGCATCAAGTGCAGGAGTACGCCATCCCGGTAAGTAACGATAGAGAGAGGAGGGGAGGGAGAGAGAGGGAGGAGGGAGGGAGAGAGAGAGGAGGAGAGGGGGAGAGAAGGACAGAGAGAGAGAGCCACAAGATCACGCATCAAGTGCAGGAGTACGCCATCCCGGTAAGTAACGATAGAGAGAGGAGGGGAGGGGGAGAGAAGGAGAGAGGAGGGGGAGAGAGAGAGGAGGGAGAGAGAGAGAGAGAGGGGAGGGAGAGAGAGATAATATAAAGAGGGGAGGGAGAGAGTGAAGGGGAGAGGAGCGAGAGCGGGAGAGAGAGAGGGAGAGGAAGAGAGGAAAGGACAGAGAGGGAGAGAGAGGGAGAGAGGAGAAGAGAGAAAGAGAGAGAAGAAGAGAGAGAGAGAGGGAGCGAGAGGGGAAGATAGAAAGAGAGAAAGAGAAGGGAGAGAGAGGGAGAAAAAGAGCGAGAGTGATAGAGAGTTTGTGACAGAGAGAGCGAGCGAGAGAGGAGGAGGGAGAGAGAGGGAGCGAGAGGGGAAGATAGAAAGAGAGAAAGAGAAGGGAGAGAGAGGGAGAAAAAGAGCGAGAGCGATAGAGTGTTTGTGACAGAGCGAGCGAGCGAGAGAGGAGGGGCAGCGAGAGGGGGCGAGAGAAGAGGGGCAGAGAGAGGAAGGGGCAGAGAGAGGGAGAGAGAAACAGAAAGAAAGACACTGCATCTCACACTGTACTGTAGTAACCATTACTATATACTCCATACTTTATACAGACAAGACTGGCAGCGACGTGCGAGACCTCACCATCACGCTGTACCTCACGCTGTACCTCACGATGTATATCACGCTGTACCTCACGCTGTACCTCACGCTGTACCTCACGCTGTACCTCACGCTGTACCTCACACTGTACCTGCACTTCATGCTGTACCTCACCCTGTACCTCATGTTGTCCCTCATGCTGTACCTCGCCCTGTACCTGCACTTCACGCTGTACCTCACGCTGTACCTGCACTTCACGCTGTACCTCACGCTGTACCTCACGCTGTACCTTACGCTGTACTTGCAGACTACTACCGGCAGCGACGTGCGAGACCTCACCAAGTGCGTGAAGAACAAGTTCCGCTCGAAGTCGTACTTCCGCAAGCACCCTCGCGTCGGCTACCTCCCCGTGCAGACCGTCGACGAGGGAGACAGCATGGAGAGCCCCGCGCACACGCCCGCCCACTCCGGCTCCCAGGACATCCACACTCGCCTCGAACTGTACAGCAGTCGACTAGCCGAGGTCGAGCAGGGAGGAGGAGGAGGAGGAGGAGGC